TGACATATTTACCCTTTTAGCTTTACAAACTACCGTCAATTAGAAGGGAACTCCCTATATATGCAGAAGTTTGCGTTGTTCAGGAGGTCTTCATGGACCACGAACCAGTTCCACGACCTGACATCCTGAGCTACATAACTTTGTTTCGTTGTGATTCGCCGTTTAAGACCTTTGCTCGGGCCCATGGTTATGCCTTCACGTTGTGTGACGTCAAGTTCTACCCGTACGTCCCTGCACCTGACGTCTTCCTCGGTTAAAGTATCTGGCGGGTACATTTTACGGGTTGAATGTCGTCTTTATTTTGTACAATAGGATGGTACCTACGTTATTTAATAAATTAATAGCTATATAAATCTAAGGTGGAAGTACTATACTTAGACCTTCATTAACAAAAGATTGTGCTGGGAAAATAATATAATCCTAGATTTCAGAAACGTATTTAATCCCGCACCATGAAACTTACTGTACACGTACGGAGTGACAGTCGATTGTCGTTGTAACAGGTGAGACGATCCGATGTTGGTATCTCCGGTGTGAATCATCGTATCATCGACATGAGACTGGGAAATCGAAATCGACAAAGCACCACTAACAACGGAATCCCTTTTATACACATGTTTATGGTCTGTATTTTACAACACGACACGCGAACTTACATCTATTCTTGAAGATTTTACTATTATCTATATGTACAATATAGGCCAGCGTCCACCAACACACACCATGAAATCGAACAATGAATAATCGGTCGATTCCTGCATTGGGAAAATATGTTATGTATATGTATAACTCAAATACTAGTCAGGAAACCCATTCTGATTATCACGTACCGATACTGTCGGGTTTACGATTTGCCCTCCGTTTACATTAGCCCCTGGAGTTCATCTCTTGGCGTCACTGCGCAGCTTGGACCTTCATTTGAAGAAGGCAAGGAAGAACTTTTTGGTTTACGTTTAAGAGTCCTAAAACCTTTTATCGAGCTTTATTCCAGCCACCCACCTGTGTGTAAATTCTCTCCTAGTGCACAACAAGTCACAGGCTATTAGAGGTGTACAGTTGGGATGAAAATATTAAAGACTTAGTATTTAGATCAAGCGGTTTTCGCTTTACTGATTGCCAATCTGATATTTGCTTGATGTTCGGCTCATGTCCGTCGTCCAGCGGTGTATTAAAGATAAAGGACTTCTGTATGTCTTTCACTCAGAAAACATCCATTCCTGGCCTGATATGCATACGAAAATCTGCCATGACTCATTCCTTTCTTGGTACTGGTACATGGGGTCGTGACTTCAATTGCAGGAAGGATGAGGGTCAACCATGTGTGTGAGTGTGTGTGTGTGTGTGTGTGTGTGTGTGTGTGTGTGTGTGTGTGTTTGGGTGTGCGGCGCACCTGTGCATTAACGGCACACTGGGAAGTTGACGAAGAGTGTTTTGGACTTGATAACTGATTTGCCTCTGCGTTCACCTTTAATCTTGGATGTGCCTGGCCAGTGGGTGGGTCACAGAGGGGTACTGCTAGGGTTAACCCAAAACGATTCAATGATTCATCTAAATCCTATAAAAAATGTTGTCACTCACAAATGCCTTCTTAGGGTCTACTTTATTTTCGTACTCCTTTCGATTTTAAGTTGAAGCATAAATATATAAAACAACGTTACATTGGCATCAAAAACTTGTGGCAGTGTCTCCTGATATTTACACTTTTAAAATTGTGAGATATATGTTTGGCTGTTGCATAAAAGAAACACTGGTTACAATTTAGGTTATGGGGGAAGAAAAACTCAAATGTTTTACCTAAATGGCAGCAAAAGTGTAGAAATAGTGTTTTACGAGCAAAAGACTCGTTGTGGTGCCTATAAGTAGGCCTACTAAAATTCAAATTGCTCATAATGCAGAATGGCCTATTTATATTATGTTACTAAATTAATTTGATACATTATAGTCAATGATTTTGCAGTTAGTAAAGGTGATATTAAGAGTTTATATTGAATGTTTGATATCTGAATCTACAAAGTAACTAGTTAGTTCAAGGCATCAAATACATTTAGAGTAGTATAGGTTATAATAGTTTTTTTTAGAAGTATAAAATATAAGTTCTACAAAATCTACAGAAGAAAGGCATTCATTGAAGGAGTCTGTAATGGTGCATGGTTGCATTACTGTGTTTATGAATAAACAGCATTGCTACGCACCCATTTTCTTATTCATCTGCTTAATTCCACAGAAAATGCACCTTCCAATTATATTTCTTCATGCATTTGTTCTGTCACTTTAAGTCTCAAAATAATTGCGTTAGTGTAAAACTCCTGAGTCACTATCAAAGGGAAGTACAATGTTGGATGTTGAGCGGAGGAGCAACCAACTTGGCCGTTTAATCTCTCGCTGATCAAAAACACAGTTTAAAGGCAAGATGGCTCACTTCTTCTGGCTGGTGAGAACAATTCAAATCTAATTAATCTCCATCTGACTTTGAAAAATGCATTCATTTGTTTAATTTCCTATTGAGTGACCTTTTTTGGCCGCAGCCAAAACAAGAAAATGTGTTCCTTATCCTCATCGCCTCCCGTTTACTGTATGTTCCTCCCCGATTCTTCTGATTGGACCTTTATCAAAGATTACAAGAATGTTTTTTTTCTGTCAGTTACAATCTTCTGCCATTGGGATAGCCACGTTATACTGCTGCTGACAGTGCTTGTGCGTTTACCACACAAGAAGTTCAACAGCTTCCCTCTGGTCAGATGGCCACTTCAATGTTTCTGTAGGATTAATAATTTCGTGAGAGTCCGAGCCACTGGCCAGATATATTCTCCAGGTGGTTGTAAATTACAGGCCTAAAAAGAAAAAAGAAACCCACCTACATGCTCGCATTGTGGGTTTCACAATGCGAGCATGTATTTGAACAGCTGCTATAGTTGCTTCTCAGCTGAATATTGATTTGTTATTATGGGTTAACAGGCGGGCTGTAGTATATAGATAGCACACGCTCTGGACGCAATGAAAAAAAAAGCCTTCGAAGGTTTGGATGAAGACTTGTGTTATGATTTGATCCCGGAGAATGGGGGGGAAATGTTCTTGTAGAATAAAGAGTGACAAATCATTTTACTGCTGATTGTTTCAGGAAAGATAGATTACAAAGAAATCGGCGTATACATAGATCCGTGTGTTTGAACCAAATAAGTGCCATTTGGGTGCCAGTGGAGTGCCACCTCTCTGTGAAGCCCTAATGGCCGCAGCACCGGCTTTCATGTGAATAATGCTGTTTATATTAGGCCTCAGCTCCTACATTAGTGTCCTTCAAACATCTACACTCCTCGCAGCCGTTTGGCATTTTGAAATACTTCACAGGCTTCCCATAGAGTCTATTATCAGGTGCCGTGCACCGGTGGAAAGTGTGTATGTGAGTGAGTGTGTGTTTAAAGTGCTGGAGTCATTGAAGGGCTTCATTAAAGAATGGAAAGTATGTAGACATCTCTGCAGGCTGGCCCAGAAGTCTTTGCTCTCACCTGAACCATATATGCCCAGTTATGGCCAGAGTCAGACCCCGCTGAGTAAAACAAACACTGCCCCCTACAGCTTTGGGAATGTCCCTGCAACAAAGAGGTAAGTAAAAAGTAATGACCATGAATTTAGGATGAGGTGGAAAAAACTTTGAAGTGGGACATTTATGTAGAATTACTCAAAGCTACACATTAGCATGGCTCATTAAAATAAACGTTTCCTCATTAAACCTCTTAACCTTGGGAATTTTAGCGTTTCCTTTTAAGATGAAACACTTAAGGCAAAAACATATAGTTTTTCATGCATTAGTCAACCCTGAGAGTTTGAGCTGTTCTGCTTCATTGACAAGTTTCATTTTACCAGTCATAAGAAAACATCCAAAATAAACATTCACTTTCAGAAACGTTGCAATACACAAAAATAATGTCAATACTGGTGAAGTCTCATTGTGATATCAGTAATTTCATTATTTTTACATTATTGACCTAAGTGCATTTCTTTTAGGCCTTTTCTTTCCAGTTGCATCCCTATCTATACTTTGAAGGTTTTTAGTGGGAGTTATTCAAAATATCATCAAAAGTCTAATTTATAGTACATTTTATTCCTCAAAACATGGTAAAATGTATTTTCTAAGGCTGTTGACAGTATTTTACGAGTTATGGAGTGATACTAAGAGACATCCAACATTCCCTCTACAAAAACCTTTGACTGTTATTTGTCGACTATAAACCTGGCTTTCCCAATGTTTGGATATCGAATGATGTACCAAAAAATACTAGGATGATTCTTCAATTGCATATTAAAACATAAACATCAAGAACATACGTAGGAAATAATCAACTGGGGAGGTTTGATGTTGATGTCTACTAGTTACAAATCGTACCCTATATTCACCTTTGGCCTTTACATGCCAAAAACATAACTGAGTCACTGCTTTCTGTCCCTCCCAGGAATCTGTTTCCTTTTCATGAAGCATTCCCAGTTTCCTCTAACTGTTTTCAGACAGAATAATCAGCGTGCACGGGGTCGAACACACACAGGAGCCCTCCATCATGGCCGCCTTCCCAGAGTTTCTGATCACCAGATATAAGTGTGCGTGTCATCAGTCCCAACTTTATTAATGTTTCACACGCGAGCCAAGCCACTCAGCGCTGCAGACAGATCCAACACATGCACATGTATTCATTCACAGTCATGTTCCTAATATCCGATTGCCTCTTCTTGTGTTTTTACATACGCCAACGCAGGCCTTAATCTGTAAACGAAGCGTGGGGAGTAGGGGAACGCTGCGGTGAGAGGGATATTTAAGAACAAAAAGCGTGAAGTACATGAGCAGACCAATGTTTTCAGGACGGGTTTTGGATGTACAAATGCACATTAGAAGGTGGAAGCCGAGCAGAGAACCAACCTCACTGAGAAGGCAGACGATGAAGCGAGGGCTGAACAGCGGAACAACACGTGCAGGGCGTAAAAAAGCCCATCACAGTCAATCAGGCGTCAGCCGCTAGTCAGGGAGGAAAAGAGAGGAAACTTTACCCCGGCTTGGCCCTCCTGAGTTTGCCTGCCGTTTGCAGCGCGGGGGAAATCCACTGGATGTCACATACATCTTGATTTTTATGAATGCTTTGATAGCTCCCCTAAAGACACTCCCATGACCAGGTGGAGTGTATTTATACAAGCGTGTCAGACAAGCAAAAAACCAGGGGAAAGGATATTTGCTGATCCCCTTTGCTCACAGAGGAGAAAAGAAAAACTTGCGGCTATTCTAATTGCAACTGGAAATATTTATCTGGCTGTGGACTCTGGGAAGCGGGTCACTTGAACGCACCCTTGCCTGGATCACCAGGTGTGAAGGTTGGATGGTGATTGACGTACAGCTGTCTAATCGGAGAGAGACCTGCCTTCTTACTGGAAAACATGTGAAGTCTTTTATTGATGCTTAGGTGTCAATTACAAAAAACATCAACAAACCAAAGCCATCAAGACAACATGAGAAGACATTTTTTTCATAAAATGTAATGAAGTTCTCACCACTATATTTGCCCATAGCTTCTATTAGTTATGAAACGTTGCACCATCTAAAGTCATTTATGAGATTCTGTAAAACGACCGCATCATTATAATTAAGTCCCACATGGCAATAAATGTCTAAATCAAATCAACCCCATGAACACGCACGCACGCACGCACGCACGCACGCACGCACGCACGCACGCACGCACGCACGCACGCACGCACGCACACACACACACACACACACACACACACACACACACACACACACACACACACACACACACACACACACAAACACACACACACACAATGGTACGCTTCAACTGCATTCAATCTAAATGTGACATCTGTTTATTTGTGATTCAGAAAACATTGTTTTATTCCTCTGACTCACTGCTTATGTCCGTCTATTAATTTGCACTAGCTGAAAAACTACTGCGATCTTTGCCTTGGGGCCAACTTTTAACTGCTTAGTTACAGTAACTAAGATGAACTGGTGTTGATGCGGGGCTTCCTTCATTCCTATGAAAGTTGATCAGTGGCGCATGAATCCTGACGTTCAAGTACAAGGCTACCAGATCTTTATGGGACGTTCTGCAATTTTCCTCATCTATTAGTCCCATAGATTCCCAATTGGGTTTTCCTATTCCTAAATCAAAAGAAAAAAAAAGTTTGGGCCTAATTTACCTTACTGACACAAAAGTTGTAGTATCACGGTTTGGCCACCAAGGAGATTAGCTTTAATGCCTGGCTTCACCGTACCTTTTAATTACTTTAGGCTAAACCCAAGTATAGGATAATGCTTAAGCTAGACATAATGTTACAGTAGCACAATCAGCAACAAGTACATTAAAGGGAAATATCTTGAGTTTTCTAACATTAGCAAGCATTACCAAGGAAAAGCTACTTCTGAGAGCCTTCTCATGAATTCTTCCTTTTCAATAGGAATGCGTTATTTCCTCACTTAAATATATTAAACATGCAGCCGATTGTGCATCCTAAGGTTTATGATTGCTCTTCCATATACTCACATTACAGAGAACGCACAAGTGAACGTGAATTGAGACCAAAAACAGCTGCAAGTCGATGAGTTTACAAGAGAAAATTTGAAATATGCCTCAAACAAATCAAAAAAGTGCAAGCCAGCTCCCATTAGTGCAGTAAGGACCAAGACTTTATTGCTTCCAACACTGCAAACGAATTCCAAGCATTGTAGTAGTCAGTGATAATTAGGATCTGTTGAACACCTTCAGTCTCCACCCTTACAGCTCTTACATATTCAGTATCGCTGAACAATAAATGCCTTCAGTTCTTTAATGGTCTCTGTGCAACACGAAGACCGAGGGTGGAGGAAGTTCTAATCTGTAAGAATGCTCTGTGATGTGACCGCAGCTCAGTGAACTGAAACAACACTGTTACATTATTCATAGAAAGAATTAACGCCACCTCCTAGATGATGAGAATAAGCTGTTATGAACTTCTTATCACATGGAAGTAAGGAACACATGTTGTTTATGGAAAAAATATGGAGTATTGACAGCTTATCTGAGAGGTGAGGGAGTTGGAGGCTGAATGGGGATAAAAAGATCTAGTGAAATTGGAACTTTTTCTTTCCTCTTCCTCTGTGAAATAACACGGATAAAAACTGCCCCATTAATAGGTCTTTTTGTTTTGAAGAGCTCATCAGAGAGCAGTGAAATGGGCCTTTTAAACCTCAGCTGTGGATGCAGAATGTCATGAGCGTGCTTTTGAAATGCACAATATGTTATTCATTTGTTCGCTTCTTTGGTGCATGCTCATCTACAACGTAGCTGAATGTTAGCATTCCTCTGCTCCCTGCTTTTGTTACATGGTAATTGTGCAGAGCGAGTACCAATGTGCCAGGTCTCAGTTTAATGAATCCCACCTGTAACACATTTGCACATTCATTCCTCTCCAAGGAGAAATCCTGTTGCCAAAGCAAAGCCTTGTGGAAGTGTGCTGCTATGCTGAGACCCCAAAGAAATGTACACAAGATGGCAGCCGATGTTAGCAACCAATTTAACCCTTTAACTTGTGATGGCATTTGTTCAAAATCTATGTTTGTGTACATTTTACGGCTCAATGTTGCACTCACGAGAGGGAAGTTGGAGGAGAGGCTTATGGAATGTCAGAGTGAAATGCTTGTGAGCCCCTCCGGCATGTGAAAGGGATTTCACAAACATGAGTACATCAAATGATTGATTCAACGGCTAATCTCTCCACAAACTGTATACATACCAATATCTTAAAAGAGTAGGCCATTCATCTAGGGCTTTTCGATGAGCTCAGTATAGCGGTGAATAAATAGTGCACTCACTGCAGACTGTATTTTTTTTTCATTCTTCTCAACACACCATTGCTTATCTTCAGCATATGCTAATGCTAGTTCAGATCCACCAGTGACATGCAAAACGTTTGCTTTTAATGGGTTATTGTACACTAGTATTGATACTTTGAATTCTTCCACAGCTAAGTAATATACAATATATTGTCAAATATGCCTCTGTTTCTAGTGATTCTTCATTAGGAGCTCCTAACAACTGTTTATGATGACACTAAAAAGCATGAGGAAGCAACTAATCCTTCCCCTTCATCTCATTATTCATTGTAGTATATTTGTTTCTCATTTTCAGACATTCAGTCCCTGTGCTTGTCAGTTAAAACAGAATCTCTCGTGACTGTTGCAGCACTGTGCTGTTGTTGCTCATTTGAGTAATGTTGCTCCCAGTTGGTGGTCTCAGTAATGAGCAACGGGGGGTGGGTGGACCACATTCAATGGGATGCCAAAGATCTTTAGCTCCGTTCCTTCAGGGCCTTTTGCATTTAGTAACTCTGAGCTCATAATTGTGCGACTAAAGCAATTGTTCTCTTAATTGAAGCTATTCAGGGCCTCTATGGGCTTTCCCCACTTCCCTCAGGTGATCATCCAAAACCTTCAGGTGGAACTCAGGTGATCCTTCAAAGACTCTGAGAGAAAGGGATGTTTTTATCTTGTAAATCATAGTTTTACTCTTAAAATAGTATGGTTTTGAGTAGTTAAGACAAATCATTTAATATAATTCATGGTAATATCTTCATGGAAAAATGTCTTCTTTGAACAAGCATCCAGTTTTTTGCTGCTCTGGCATAGTAAATGCCAAGGAAATGAGTGCATACGGGCCCTTATCTTTTGCCCCACAGTTATAGCTCACAATAAGTATTGCTGGCTCTTAAACACAAACATCTTATTGTAAAACTGTACAAGATCATTTAATGACTGGATGACACTGAATAGGTACAAAAAGAATTCCGGGGTAAGTGTAGCTCTGGGTATCGCCAGGACTTTTAATGTGGAGTAAAATGAGTGTGATAGAATGTTGAATAGAAATATTGTTCATTTCCTTTCAAGTTCATGACCCGTGGATGACAAATTTGCTTAAATGTCTTGTGCTAAAGATTTGAAAGAAGTCGTTCCACCTTTAATCTTCAAAACGCGTCAAACACTTATGTCTGCAAAGCACCATTTCAACTTTAATTCCTCATTCTGAAAAATTCACAAGCCAGAAGAGTGTTGAGGAGGGTGGAGGAGCCGAAGCAGAGCATACGTTTAAGAACATTTGACGCACAAAGAGAAGTCGCCCCAAAACTTGCAAATGGAAAAAAAAAAGAATCTGCAGGGGCCACGGTTTGTTTTCACCTGAAGCAGTCATTTATCTTGGCCATGGCCCAACACTAAAGCACTGTGTATGTTTCTATGGTCTCGGTGGGTTTGTGTGTGCACCACAGCCACTTAAAGCGGTGGGGGGAACTGCAGATTTTAGTCCTAATCTAGGAATTGTGAAACCGCACCATTTCCTTGCACTCGAGAAGTGCTTGGCATCTCATTGGACTGTGGAGGACCTGTATACATCAGCGCAGATGGAGCATGCAGATGAGTTTAGGATATGTGTTTGTTTTACTTCACTTTGGTGGACATGGGGATGGGATGATAAGAAGGTTGTTGCAGATGAGCTCTAGCCAATGTTCACCTACTGTATCAACAGCAGCAAGTGTTCTTGGTTCTCTGAAAAGCAAAGACAGCGTTCAAGTTTGTGCATAGCCTAGTATCATACAAATTACAAAAGGAAAGGAAATGTTAATGTAATTGAGTCATATCCATGTAACGAGAAGAAACTCAGCTAACTGATGATTTTTTTGCGAAAAAAACCACAAGGCTAACGCTGAGCCTCTGAATTAGCCCTGTGCGAAAAAATCTTAACGCCGTTAGCACAGAACTCTAGCTATACCGATAAAAATGATCGATACCGATCAATATACTTATTGGATCTGCACAAACAAGCTTAGCTAACATCCTGAGAGTCCACAGATTATAGAAATATAAGTATCATCACTGAGCGATCAGAACTCGTGACAGGGGAAGCAAATACAGACAACACACGACGTAGCTTTAGGTAGCAAAATACGGAGATATGCTCACCTTAGCTGTTATTCTGTTCAAAAGTCGTGTTCAATGGCATTAAAACGAGAAAAAACGCGGCTGAAGGTTAATCCATAGGTTAATCCAATGTGTCTGTCACTTTGAAAAAATTATTGATAATCCATAATTCAATTTTTATGCAAAAATCGGAGAATACAAATTAGCTGCTAATGGTAGCCACCAGAGTGTGTTGTAGCTCCGGTTTTGGCTATGCGTCACTCCTTACTTGGTAACCTGTGTGTGTATGTGGAACTTTCCCTCGATTCCATTGGCTCTAGCGGTTAAAAAGAGATGTCAATCATCAAAATCGACCAATGGATTCCAGAGAAACAGCAAAAACGCCCATTTCCACCCAAATGGCCCCAGAGGTGGATTTTTATTTGCTAAACCTCTCTAAAAAGTTCAAATGTCACATGTTTTACATCAATATTGATACAGGGTATTTATTATATGTTGTACTTTGGAGTCCTAAAGCTTTTAGTCTACTAACCCATCATCCAAGGGTAGTTCTTTACTACAAGTAAAAAATAATTTATAGTTTTTTTACTATGTTCAATCTGAATTTTCTTTAAAATAAAAAAAATCTATATTGATTCTGACTCTTCTACATTCAACTCACAGGTTTATCATTACTTTTGAGAAAAAAAGATTATTAATTGTCCCCTTTTTAGAAGAATTTGTTCTGGAAATGTCATTTTCAAGCCTGAGACCTGAAAAACAGGCATGGGGCCTAACAGGTTAATTGTTTTCCAGAACAAGGCCTAAAGGTCGGACTTTTCCGCCAGAAATAAAGGCATCAACCAATGAACTTCTTGGGAAATTGTAAAGTTGTGCCCATATTTACGAGGATTTTAAAACAAAAATACAGAGGCTTCGAAATCCGAACCAAGGCAGCCTACAGCATATACTAGATCCACCCCTTCCATTTTTACTTTAACAATAAAAGCACTAGACATATCATTTGTGTAATTGACAATTTTTTTATTTACGTGTAGTAATTTGTGATGCCCCCAGTATGTAGAGGCCTTAACATCAAACGCACATTTTTCTTTGACCGTTATTAGTACGGATTTTTTCGTTAACATGTTACCCCACATACACTTTGGAAGGCAGCAGTATATCATTGTTGTATTTACAGCAGTTGTGCTGCCCCCAAGAGGCCAACACATCTGTTAATGCCGGTGTAAAGGCTAATCTAAAACAGCCCATTAGGAAATGCTTTTTTTTTATCTGCAATGCATCGATACTTTCAGACTTTGCTACTAATGTCTTTGGCACCCAGGCACCCTTTTAGTTCCTACTAAAGGAACTGCCTATTGTCTCCTAAATAGATACATTTTAAAGCCGGGCTCAATAATGTTCTTTGACAATGTATTAGCAAACATTAGAAAGCAAATGGTGAATTTTGGGAGAACATTGAGTATACGTATGTGCCGAGGTTTAAGTGTATACCGGATAGTCTGAAAATAAAGTGCAATGACAGTAAAGCTCGAAAGCAAAGAAAGTTAGCTTTTGTGTGATTTGTTTACTTTTACACAATAAATTATATTGCTATCTGTAATTGCCAAGACTAACGTT